GTTCCGCGATGACGGAGCGAAGGGCGCGAGGCGAAGAATTTTATCGTACTTTAAGGAAGCGGGATCGAAAAATCAGTGGTGAGATATGCGAGGAATGCTTAGCACCTAACTGATTCGCGATTATCGATCGCCAAACAAGTGCCCGTTTCGCAATAAAATCCACATTGATAATAATACCATATGTTTAATCGTTTTAGCTAAACTGTAAAATAATATACAAATTTTGTCCTAAAATCTAATAATTTATTACACAATTAGATAAATCATTAATCTGAGAACATTTTCAGAGTCTTTTAATTTTTAAACTTTTCTATAAAATATATAATTATTTCACTTATTTTACTTCTATTATCTTAAATATGATCACAAAATAATAACGAACGATTAAGAGCACCGAACTAATCTAAATCTTATCAGAACTCAATTTAACAAGATACGCTACAGATGACTTGTAATCTTTCTGAACCATGGACACGTGAATCTGATAAAATCAACACGATATAGATTTTAATTTCTATATTTTTATCTATGAGTCATATTAAACGTATACTTGAAATTTTTTTGCTGGTCAAACAATGCAAATAATTCAAACTTTCTGCCGAAATCTTGAATTATGCAGATTTTTCGAAGAAAAAATAAAAATAAAATAAAATAATGTGATGTAAAGTGAAAAAAACATACAAAAATCGATTATTTCCGTCTGCAATAAATATCATTTTTTCTTAAATTTTTCTTGAGATGCCTGAACTGTTTAAATCAAATCTTTAAGAATTAATTGAATCGATAGGACAGTTCAACCATCAGTTTCATTCGAATTGTATAAATTATCGGAAGTTCAAACGCTTCTATTTGGATTAGTAAATTACGGAATCAAATCTGCTTAAATTCTAAATTACACAGTGAAAGAAAAACGCAATCACACAGCAATGTAGAGGCTGCGTATTTCCAGTAACAATGAATATCTAGAATCAAAATGGCAAATTATCATTAATCAATGAATCGGAACCAGGAGGAGAGTAAGAGATGGACAGGAGGGTGAGTCGCGGACCACGTCAACGATCGACATTGGCAAACGCGAAACGGAGAGCGAGAGGGAGAGTGCATCCTGCACTGGGACATTTCGAGAGTACTCGATGCATTGTCACTCGAAGCCTACCCTTGATCCACTACCTCGGCGAATTCAAAACAATCTCCTCGCCGTATGTTGTAACGTTAACAGTTCGTTACAAATGTTGTATCCCTATCGATACACGAGTAAACCGATCAACCGCCTCACACGTGCACATACAATTTTCTCACCCGGTCAACAAGTAAATACAATGTCATGTCGTATCATTATCAGCAGATACTTTATCCGTTATTTTCGCGTAGCGATAGCGGCAGCTCAACCTCATTTCGCGAGTTGCCGCGAGATAATGAAATAAGAACAGAGAATGACGATTTGCATCGCGCGGCGACCGAGAAAGTCCAAACTTTAAAGATTTCGCCAGTGCTGAGATTTCACAGAATGGAACGCGAGTCTCGAGTCTCGGAATCCGTCGCAGTATCTCCGCGCCGTGCACGGGATCACCCGGTAGAATTCCATAGGCACGCGTAGCTATTACCTAACCCGCGCGTAGACAGTACGCATATATAGACGGAATAGCCGGTGGGTTGCGCGCGCGCGAGCAGGCGCCTGTATATACTCGGCCGCAGTTACGTATCTGGAAAGCCCGCCGCCGGTTGGTCGAGGCGGGTAGGTAGGTACCGTATTATATACGTAGTGAGGGCTGGAGGGTCCTCACCGCCGCAACATTACGCTGATTGCCTGAATTATCCGCAACCAGCCCGCCTGTGCTCTCCGCTATGTATGTACGAGC